CCATTCAACAGAACCATGCAGGGAGCTATCGCTTTTATTATCAGACCCATGTTGGCTGGTTAGGGTGCCGTGCCTCCCTGAACTTGATGGTGACAGGGAAGAGAAAACCCAGGGTCCCCACTATACGGTTCTTTCCTCTGGAGATTACCTTCCCTCTGAGGTGTCTTCCACATCCCAACTCTGGAGTGTAAATCAGGAGGTGTTGGTCCATTTATCAGGTTGCCATCTTCTTTTTAAAAACTCTGCAGAAAACTTAATCTGTCAGCCCTGCCAATCCTACTGCCAACATTGGGGATGCGGGGAAGTGATCCTCCAGCTTGTCTCAGAACTTTGATATCATGGCTTGCTACTCAGGAAGAACCACAGAAGTTTTTCCACCTGAGATCTCTGACATTAGATACATTCTGTTCCTAAGGAGTTTCTTAGCCAGAAGTGCTGAACTCAGATAGTCAAGCTGAAGAAATTAAGCCACAAACCAGGAGGAAGCCCTCTACATCAGGAAAACGGTTCATACCAGAACCTCATGAAGTTATATGAGGTGAATAATGTGCATTTATAAGAAATAGTAAGAAGAAACTGGATGAAAAGAATCAGTTCTCAAGTGAAGAAATTATCAAAACCAGAAAGCTGGTGAAGTGAAGGAGTCTGGCAATTGGAATTCTGTCTCCTGGCCTTGGCAGATACAGGTCTTATCCATAGTTCCATTTCTCAGAGACTGTCCTTGATGGTCTCTGCAGGCAGGGTGCTCTGAGCCTGAGAAGTAGATAGCAAGCTCCCTGCACCCTTGGGAACCAGACAGAAAACTTTGTGTAACCTTGAGTGGATTCTTGGATGTCTTGCCAGGTGGCGCAGATGTGTTGCTACTGTGAAAAAAATTTGCTTGTACCCTTTGCTATATAAGTGTTGTTTGCATGTTCAGTAAACTGAGACTTGATCAGGAATCTGTCTTGTCTCCACTCTTCATGTCTCTTTCCCCAAATTTCCACTCCCTCTTTCAGGTGGACCCTGTTTGACTAGTCCGTGGGGAGGGTCAGTGAAGGTGTAATAGAACAAGAAGAATATTTCCCAGCCACAGCAAGCAGCACAGCTTCACAGCTTTGGCCATGTGACTCTGGTTTTGGAGTCAAGAACAGAAGAAAGGGTTTTGGAAATCTCTCAGTAATTAAGAAAGTCACTGAGACTAGATATATGACAGGAGTGTCCTGGATGTAGTCCTAGAAAGAAAGGGCTTATGAAATCTCTTTCCATGACTAAGGAAAGCTGCTGAGGCCAGGCATGTGGTGGGGTGTCCCTACATGGAAAGACAGAGAGGCCATTGTGTGAATCTGTGCAGGTAAAACCTGGATTGCCTTGGAGATTGCAAGAGGTTAGAGATCCCAAAGCCCTGGGATACTTGCTAAGGAAATGTAAAAGGGAGTGGAACCAGCCCAAGAGAAAGAAGTGTATTGCAGTCAATAAAGCTGAAAGTTGGAGATCTAAAGAGCATTTTGACATCAGACATGGAGATGCAGTGTTTTTTGAGTTTGCCAGGCTGGATGAGAATGTCAAGAGTTTTGCTATGTTTTACCAGAAAATCCAGTGCTCAATGTTGGGAATCATTTGTGAGAAAAGATGCAGGAAGGAAATGTGTTTTGGGTGGAGGAAAAGGTCTAAATGTTGGGGTGGAGGCTTCCTCACCACCACATTAAGGCTCTTACCAAGAAAGTTGTCCATTTCATTTATATTTTCAACGTTTGTGGACCTAATGAAGTAAGACATAATGAGTCTTTGAATTTCCTCAGTATTTGTTGTTATGTCCCCAAATCTGAGCTTGCTGATTTGGATAGTGTCTCTCTGACTTTTAGTTAGTTTGGCTAAGGGTTTGTCTATCTTGTTTATTTTCTCAGAGAACCAGCTCTTGATTTTATTGATTCTTTGAATTGTTTTCTTTGTTTCTAATTTATTGATTTCACCCCTGAGTTTGATTATTTCTCCTCTTAGGTGTGTCTGCTTTTTTTTTTTTTTCTAGTGCTTTCAGGTGTGCTGCTAAGTTGTTTGTATGAGATATCTTGAATTTCTTTATGAAGGCACTTAGTGCTATGAACTTTTCTCTTAGCACTGCTTTTATTGTATCCCATAAGTCTGGATAAGTTGTGTCTTCATTCTAGTTTGCTGTGAACTTTTGTAGATTTTTCCCCTCCTCTCTTCTCAATCCATGGTGTAGGGAAACATGTTCCATCAGTGAGGTTTGGGTCCTCACCACTGTGCTTCTTCTGTTTGTCCTCATTCTCATGTAATGCTGTTCTTTATTATAATTCATCATATTCCCCATGGTGCCTTATAAGCCTCTGGTTTTTATTGTTGCTGTTAATATGAATTTTTTGTTATAAAGAATTTGACTCAAAAAGCAACAAAACTATAACCAAAAGCCAGATTCCAATATGAAAATAACTAAATATAAATGATGCACACTTAATCCATTATATATTTATCATATACTCATTGAAAGGTTTTTCCTAATACATAAAAACTTGCTTTTAGATGCTTAATGGAACTATCTTGATGAACACTGTTGATGTGGTTTGGAAATATCATTTTCTTAAATAATACGTGGTCTGTGACATTTGCTTATTGGTGTGCATAATCCTTTCCATGGGCACCTTGGAGTCCCAGCCTCTCCCTATGTATCAAGGTCAGCCAGTTTCATTGCTGGGCTAACAAAAGCCAGTGATCATAGCAGCAGTTGCAACTTTTGTCCTTATTGCATGGTTCTGTATGGGGAGGCTGGATACTGTCAAATTGTGAGATATCTTTGCATTCTCATGAATATAGAAGATTTGTTTTACCCTGAGTTGATTCTTGGATTACTTGGGATCCATGAACGGGAGGCCCTGGTCTTATACTTTCCAGCTGTTTTGTTAAAGTCAAGTGTGAACACTCTAGTTTGACAGGCTCTTGTTCTTGTTAATTGGGTAAGAACTGGAGTGTTGACTTGTGGATCTGAAGATACATGGAACTCAGACAAATGTCCTAAATGAGATAATGCTTAGACACTATGAAGAAAAAGATGGTGATCCTGAAGACTTAAGGTGCTCAGGCCTGCAGAGCTATGGAGAGCCTGGTCTGACCTTCACCATCCTTGAGTCTCTAAACATGTTTCTGAGGCATTATATTGATTATATTGATTACATTGATTGATATGGAAAATCACATTTAATTGTGGTGTGACCATTTTGGGGACAAGGTAGAACTGGTGTGTATGAAATGAAGAAAGTGATCTGAGCACCAGCATGTATTCATCTATCCTTCTCTGCTTCCTGTATGTGGAAAAAATATGACTGGCTGCTTCAAGTTTCTGTTGCCTTGTTTTCTTTCCCCGTGAATAACTGTATCCTGGAGCTGTGAGCTATAAAATCTTTTCTCCTTTAAGTGGCCCCCTCCCCAGTATTTTAACTCAGTAGCAAGAAGAATAACTGATTTAAGCCTCATGAACACCTCCTTTAACAATTCTTGAATGTTGGCAAAACAGGCTTGTGAGAGACCTGTTCAGGTAACCATACTTGCTATGAGTTCATTAGTACAAGATGACATTATGTTCAGGAGACAGTATTTCAAAGCACTACTCTTCATCCCACTTTTTTTTTAATTTTTATTTTTTTATTATTAGTTACATTTTATTAACTCTGTATCCCAGCTGTATCCCGCTCCCTCATTCCTTCCTAATCCCACCCTCCCTCCCTCCCTCCCTCATCTCCTCCCTGCCCCTTTCCAAGTCGACTGATTGGGGAGGACCTCCTCCCCTTTCATCTGACCATGTTTTATCAGGTATTTTCATCCCACATTTTTTCATGTTTCCTGAACCATAAAGAGGGGAATAGAGATGTCCTAGTTTCAAGCACTCAAAAGCACTTGACAAATTATGAGGCTGTACTCTCAACTAACTTTTGCCAGTTGCACATAGAAACATATATGACTTAATGCTGAGACCAGTACTAATCTGTTCATATAAACATAACTAGAAGGCAGTTTGACTTCATGTCAATTTAGCAAAATAAGAGTAAAAGTAAAAAGCTTCCTTTTTAGGACCTATGGTATCTTTAGCAGTGGATTTTTAACCTGGGATACATTATCATGCCTGGATGCTCTCCTGTGAAACAGACATTGTATACCATAAGAAAACAGTTAGCTATTCCCTTAAAGGGCATGCTACTATTGTACAAGTAGGTATATGGTACAGGTAGGAATTACAGGATCTAGGGTAAGGTAGGACCATAGATGGCTTTCCTCCCTTAGCAATTTATACAACAAATTGCAGATGATGAAGCTTTAAAACAGAAGACAATTTCAGCTCATTTTCATTTTTATCTCCATGATTTGCAAGCAAAGTATGTGGTATTTTCAGCAAAGGGTTTTTTTTTTTTGATGGAATATGAAAATGAATTTTTTTTTGGTGGTAGTTATGGGGCCTTCTTGACTCAGGGCAATGTTCCATACATGAAACTAAAAGTTCAAGTTTTTAACCTGTTGATGCCAGACATTATGCATCTATGCAGGCACCTTTGTTGGAACACTTTTTAAATTCTGTTTTTAATTAGATAATAAAATATCAGGTTTCTTTTTTTTATTTTCTTTTTTTTTAATTTTATTTTTTTTCTTATCAGTTACATTTATTAACTCAGTATCCCAGCCGTGTCCCGATCCCTCATTCCCTCCAAGTCCCTCCCTCCCTCCCTCCCTCATCTCCACCGTGCCCCTTTCCAAGTCCACTGATAGGGGGGACCTCCTCCCCATTCATCTGATCCTGTTTTATCAGGTATCTTCAGGACTGGCTGCAAAGCTCTCCTCTGTGGCCTAACAGGACTGCTCCTCCCTTGGGGGGTGGGGAGGCCAAAGAGACAGTCATTGAGTTCCTGTTAGAAATAGTCCTTGTTCCCCTCACTATGGGAAACCAATTGCTTACTGAGCTACCACAGGCTACATCTGAGCAGAGGTTCTAGGTTATATCCATACATGGTCCTTGGTTGAATGTCAGTCTCAGAAAAGACCCTGTGCCCAGATATATTTGGTCCTTGTGGCGCTCCTATCCTTTCCCCATCAGACTGACTCCCCTTCTTTCTTATGATTCCCTGCACTCTGCCAAAGGTTTGGTCATGAGTCTTTGCTTTGAAAACACAAATATCAGGTTTTTATACAGGTTTTATATTGATCTCTAGATTTTGTTCATCCAATCTATGGACTGATTTTTACTGTGAGGATTTGAACTCAGATTTTAAAATTTCTCCATGTCACCAGACTGTTGGATCAGTTACCCTGCAAAAAATAAAAATAAAAATAAATAAATAAAAAATAAAAAGACCGTAGAGTCATCTTTCCCTAATGGAGGGAACAAGGAGATTATGCCTGCTTGAGGTTGAACAGTAATAAATGTTACCCGTTTGTCTTAAACAGAAGCTAGTGACAGTCCTCCAGTGAGCATGAGTGACTTGCACGTTAAGACAGAACCTACAGTGTCAGATAAGGAGCTGTGGTCAGGAAAGAAGGGTTGAGGAAGAAGAAATACTGAGGTTTAGAAGCAGAGTGTTGAGGAGGAGAGGCTGCCTTGTCTAGGAATGAGGAAGTCCGAGGAACAAAATAACAAGCAACTTAAGCACAACACAGGCTAGGGTGGGAGTGAGCAACCCTCAGTGGGTTAGCCAGGTCTTGGGAACCTTTCCGCAAAGCTCCTTCTTCTGGGACTTTCTGTCTTGGAATGGTCACATTCACTTCTTAGTCAACCCAGAAACAGTGCGGTCCTCTTGAACACCATTACATCTGACAGCAATTCGAAACAATTCTGTCCTGAGATGTTCCTGTTACTGTCCTCTGGCAGCTGTGCTACCTAGAAAGGATGTTCTCCAAACTGTTGAGTAACTTTTAGGTTTCTCAGGGCACTCCTGGTTTTCCAGTTTTGTGAGCTGTCTCCCATTCCATGGTAGAATTTGACTAATGAACTATCATTGAGTGTTTTTTGTTCCTGTAAACAACTGCAAACTCACGTTTCTGTAAATAACTCTGAGACATGTTGGTTCCCCAAGTTGGACTGTGATGTTTTCCTCATTTTGATCTATCAGCAATTCAATATCTAGCATGAAAAGATGTTTGTTCTCAGCTCCCCAGGAGGAGTTTCACACAACAAGCTTGACTGTTAATGTTCATGTGCTGAAATCTGGACTTCAGGTATGGAAGTATGTGAGGAAGGTTCTTTAAGGTCATGCCTAAAACAAGAACATCACATAAATGTGAGTATCACCCTCATAATTACTACTGTAGCTCCTTGAGACCTTGACGAGTTCTTACTGGATTATTTTGGTACAAAATTCAATGCCCACAATGCAACTTTTTCTTTCTGTACTTGGGCATTTCCTTTCAGGTCTTCTACCATACTGTGACACAGCAAATAGCATCCTCAGCAGAGGATGAGCAAGTGGGGTTGCTTGTGGCTGGACTTAATCTTCCAAAATTATCAGCTAAATCAACCAGATTAACACAGGGCCAACTATTTAGGTATAAAAACAGAAAGTGAACAGATACATGTAGAAGGAGAAAATGCAGCTTCAGATCTATATTGTAGTTGTTAATCAGTCCACTCTGAGATGTAGATAATGCCTTGGATTATCTGCATGGGCTACTGGTGCTATTCTCCAGGGATGGTTACAGTGTGACTTTCAAACTGAAACTGATACCCACACATGGGACAGATGTCTCTGGATTTAAGTAGTAACTAATCTGTTTTAGTGTCTCTGTGGACCCTGTAAGATGATCTATCTCAGTACCCATCTGCTAGTAGAGCACAGGGTATATACAGCTACTAACAGTCTCTTGGGTCCCTGAAACTGTTGTACCCAATTTGCAAGACCCCAAAAGACTGCCAGGAGTCGAGTCCATTGCAGAACACATGAGGATCTTTTTATTATGAGCTCGAAATTGTGCCACAAACCACCTCTGTCACAGCAGGTTAGGTGAGCGGCCTCAAGTCTAGGAGAGCAGAATTTTTAATGGGAAAAAAAAACTGTAAGCATGGAATTCCAAGCCTTGGCGTTACAGCATTGGGTAAGGGTTGAGCAAACGAGGTGACCTTAACTGCTATTGGTGGGCACCATCTGGCAGAGTCACTAAAGGGAGTAAGCATATCTATAGAAAACATCTGGTAGAGGGAATTAAGGATATCTTTGGGAACATCTGGTTCAGTTTGGTGGTTACATGTTTGTATATTCCATGGTTTTTCCTGCAACTGGGTGGGTAGAAGGTCATTCTTGGGTCAGTACCTTTTACAAAATGGAACCCTTATTCAAAATGGAGTTTGCTTAGCCCTTATATTCCTCCCTTCAGTGACTTCAGAGGCCCAATCATGGGATTCTTAATGATATTGGGTTCTCATAACTGTGAGCTGAATGGTGCACAGATTATGGTTATCACAGGAAGTATAGTTACCTGTGGTGGTGACACCCTTATAATAGTGAGGTTTTGCATTGTAGCATAACCAATAGGAGTGAGTTAAATCAGGCCTGGACTTGTTAATGGCTTGGCATGTATGTACCATGAGATCCCACAAGGAATAAGAATTGGTGTCCTGTGTGGGCAAATAGCTAGGAGAAGTGGTTGCAGGTCTTGTAGGGCCCTTGGAAGATAATAACTAATGTCAGGGAGCCCCTTTTGACTTAGTATGTCATCCTGTTCAGTCAGATAAAGGCTGATGAATCTCTCTCTTCTGTAATTTCTTAAGGCTGACATTGGGGCAGAGATATTGGGGACCCAGGGAGGTTGAAAGGCTGGTCAAAAGCTAGGCAATGGGGCACCATCTAATTAGTGATCCACTTGAAGAGACAGGGAGCCATCACATAGGCTGGACTGGTTTACTTCAGCTTTCAGCGACTCCAGATCTCAGCTTGCAACCATAGCTGATCCCACAATGGAGTCTGTCAACCAGATGAAAATATGCTGAGACAAATTCAGACTAGTGACAGAAGTTAAAATTTTGTCTAGTAAATGGGGAAAGTGACAAATTCCAAGACCAAGGGAAAAGCTCATCTGAGATCTGTCTGAACTATGCCAGATCCAGATCTTATGACTTTTTGATTTCCTGAAACTCACATGAACTTTAGTTTACAAAAGGAAGTACATTAATATCACCATTGTATTGAGATCCATACTTTAGAAAAAGCGGGTAACAAGTGTCTGAAAGCAGGAGTAGACTCATGTCATTAAGACCTAGTAAAAGCCATGGCTTTTAGGTCAGAGATATACACATTACACAGACGTTTTTAGCATGATGAGATGAACCTTTAGGTCTATCTCCAGAAGACAAGCAAAAGTAAATTAAAATCTCAAGCTTGTGACTGGGTAATAAGCACTCAGTGCTCCATCAGCTTATTAGAATTCTATTGATCAATGTTCTAACTCTGAACTTCTGAAATCTTATACAACATAAGCACAACAATAGCAGAGAGGGGGAGAAATCTGAAATATCTCCCATTTTTAATATGCCTTAAATTATTTTTTGTATCATTACAATTTGCATTCACATACCTTGAACACCTTCTTAGACCCTATAATCTTCCTTGCATTTACCAACTTTGAAACATCTTCCTAGAGCCTCAACTTTGTAAGATTCTCATAACTTTCATATCCTCAGACCTTACATAAACTTTACATCTTTTTATCCAGTTACTCACCATAAGACATAGCAATTAACATGAAGCCTGTGAACAAGGCTAATTTCTAGTACCTAGTAATTCTAACTGGTTAATGAATTGACCAATAAACTAACACTAGATCTAATTGTCTGCTCTTCAGCTGTAAAGCTACCATTAGCTTAGCCTAGCCATCAATGTTATCAGATAACTGAGAAGGATAAATTATAAGCTAAATATATGTACCGATCTATGTACCAATCAAAATGGAGAGGCGACTAGTTAATCCACCTCATAGGCAGTTGTCCCTGGCTCCTGTGGTCTTATGACATCATGAGCAGAGGCAGTCTGGCCACCAGGCACCAAAGATGAGAGACTGTTTCTGTGGAAAAAAAGAACATGAGAGACTTATATCACCTTGTCTTCAGCAACATGAAATAATGACTCTCCAGATGTCCACTGCTTTGTCTGCAGTTTAGGCTGGGCCTTAGCAGTGGGCCAGTTGTGGCAGTCTTGCCCAGTGGTTAGCATCCCACACTCCAGAGTCGAAGCCTTCTATCATACACAAATCATTTCAGAGACCTTGGGGAGCTACTGCCAGGATTTTGGGACTTTCTGTCATAATAAGCTTATACGTGTTAAAATGCCATATATCACAGATCTCTGACAAGCTTGAGGACCAGCATATGAGTTACTCTTTGTCTATCTTAAGTTATCTGCTCTAAGTTGCATTCTGTAAAACAGAATGTTATAATCTCTAATTCTGGCATATTCCTTAGTTAAGGGTTTTAGGACCATATCTATTTCAAGTAGATCTACATAGGCAAACTTTGTAGTTACCTATCCTAGGCTTAACCTTGAAGATATAAGAGACTAGGTAAAGCTCAATTTTGTAACCAACTGCAGTCACTAACATAACTTTAAATATATTTCTAAACTAAAATCAAAGGAAAACCTTCAGTCAGATACAGTTCATAGAGGGGCTGACAAATCTTGCTCATCCTACCATATCATATTAAGACTGAACAGCAAAAAGCTTAAAGGACAGAAGTTGTACTTCGCACTAAACAGAGAACTGAACACAGCTGTCAGCCCTCAACAAAGATGGCGGTAAAACCATAGTTTCACTCTCTTTATCCCTGGATCGACATGGCAGCTAGCCATGTGTTGTTACAGGCTGTGGCCAACAATTTTAAACATAGCCATTAGGTGTCACTGCTGGTGTTACCACCTCCCATGGTATAGCACTGTGGAGCATTTACAGCTTCCCGTAACCAAGTGCTAGCATTGTAATCAAATAAGTTTTAGAACCAACTACATAACAGAACAGTATAGAACAATTTTAAAACTGTACTTGAACTAGTCTGGCCATAACCAAATTTATCAGCCAGAAAGAAACAGCATTAATCCAATCATTCAGTAACTGGCAGCCAGGCACACACTTCTAATGAGCCTGTTAGTCTGAATAGACCCTCACAAACCAGGGCTGAATCACACATACAGCATGCTGCAAAAAACACAACCCTGAATTATATATATATATATATAATATATTATATATTCCATAAAGACATTATTACATACCTGATAAACTTTAAAATGTTTCATAGCCTTAAACACATTTTTAAAACAAATCTGTTTTTGCAATATTAAAATAAAGTACCCTTTTAGAAGTCACAAAGCATAACCATAATTTTAAAAGTCAGAACCAAATTTTACCAGTGTTAACAATTTAATTTCTAAAATCAATACCAATTTAAAATGAGGCTTGTCTTCTTAGTCTAAAAGGAAATAGGATGATAAACAAAATTAATTATGACTAAAAGGTTCTGTAATTTTTTCTGCCCTACCCCATACCACATGGCAATTTCAAGATGGCAGAGACACACACATCACATGACAGACCACATGGTTGCTATTTAAAAACATCTGCGCTTCTATAGATCTTACAAACATACATACATGCACACACATATATATATTTTCTAAACAAGAGCTTGAAATTAAACTTTAAACATATCCAATAACTGTCAATCTATAACCAAGACATACAGAGTATGTTAACCATTTAAGATCAGTCAGAAATAAACATGTAATGGCGATACATACATTTAAACAGACAGACAAAACTTATCTTACTCCTTACAGTTGTAATTTCAGGCACTTTGTTATCTGTTAAATATTCGTGGGAGTTTGGAACTTGCTGGCAGTGTTTCCCAGGGGTCACACGATGCAGCCATGCCTTGGCCTGCCTCCTCATCTCTGTCCTCTCATGCTGACCCTGGAAGAGTAGTGGGCACCACCATGGTGGAAGTTACCATTGCCATTTCCCTTCGCAGAAGGCAGGCTTGCACAAGCGGAGCTCTTCTAAGCAGTAAGAGCTCCCTCCCTCTGCCCTCCAGGTGGAAATGTGCCCATTGGCCTGGGTGATCTTGCTCTGCCTGCCGTGCTCTTGGCTGCTCTCTACCTGTCCTGCCCTGAAGCATGATCCTACAAGTGACTGGAGGTGCCCAGTTTGCAATGCTGGGAGCATGGGGCAGGCAAAGTCACCATGGTATACAGCTGGTTGGTCACCAGGCTCCCGAGACCATCATAAGCAAACAAAACCATAAAAGAACAACACAAGAAAACAGTGTACTGGTGCAAAGTGTGCAAAGAGAAAGGAAGAAGAAGAAAACAACCAAAGGAACAGTGGCCTGTCTCTCGATGGGTCTTCTGTCCTGGTCCTGTTTCATTAGGGGTGGCCCTCCTCAAAATCTGGCTCTACCCAGCTAACAACAGAGCTTGGAATGGTGTCCTGTGATTCCGCCAGACCAGAGACCAGAAAGCAGTGGCAGAGAAGCCAAGCCTGGGGCTCTGCATGCTGTAGCCATCCCTTGGCTCCTCCTTGCCCCTGTCATCAGAGCCTGTGGAGCATGGTCAAGCCTCCCTGAAATGGACAAGAATTAAGTCTAGGGTTTTAGAAGGTTTCTGTCCCATGTTATACATTGTCTGGGTCCAGTCCAAAGAAATGAGAACAGTCACCACAGCCAGCCAGCCAGCCAAACACAAAGCCAAACAACAGATTCTGCCAGGAGAGTGAGTAAGAACCCCAGACGAGTATGTTGGTGGGTGAGACTCCTCTCTCTGTGGGAGCGGCCCACATTTTTTTTGGCTTATCAAACAGACTTGGAATCCCGGGCCCCTCACAGCCAGGATCTGGGAGAGTCCCAGATCCTCATGGCTGAAGCTGGCCAGCACATCCACTAGTATATATCAACATGACTGCTCCCTGGCCACCCATTGTGTACCACCTTGAGATCTCAAAAATACACAGAATGACAGAACAGAGACACAGAATTTGGCGAAGAGAAAAGCGCTTACCTGGGGATCTGATCCTCTGGCTCCAGGGGTTCTGTGGGGGTTGGTCCTTGGGGATCCTGGACAAGCCTCCAAGTATGTTGAGCTCGATTTACAAGACCCCAAAAGACTGCCTGGAGTTGAGTCCATTGCAAAACATACAAGGATCTTTTTATTACAAGCTTAAACTTGGGCCACAAACCACCCCTGTCTCAGTAGGTTAGGAGAGTGGCTTCAAGTCTAGGGGAGCAGACTTTTTAAAGGGGAAACAAACAAACAAACAAAACTCATGCCTTGGTATTACAGCATTGGGTAAGGGTTGAGCAAGAGTGGTGACCTTTACTGCTTTTGGTGGGTGTCATCTTGCAGAGTTGCTAAAGGGAGTAAGCATATCTATAGGAAACATCTGGCAGAGGGAAGTAAGGATATCTTTAGGAACATCTGGTCCAGTTTGGCGGTTACGTGTTTGTACCTCCCATGGTTTTTCCCGAAGCTGGGTGGGTAGAGGGTCATCCTTTTACAAAATGAAACTCTAATTCAAAATGGAGTTTGCTTAGCACTAACACAACTACCACATGCACCATGGAGGGGAAAATATCCCTGATGAGATACTTCATGATAGTATGTTTAGGGACTGTACATGAGCTTTTTTTCTTGAACCTTCTGTGTTTGGGGAACTTTAATTTTGAGTTCTGGTTTCCAGCTCATGATTTTGCTGATCTTGACAGTTTAGACTTAGTGTATGAACTATCTGTATATCAGCAGAGTATACAGGGGCCTTTTAATTGCAACATTTATGTAACTAAAAACTTCTTGTACCCCAACTATGTTGTAAAAAAATCTCAAAAATTTAAGAAATTCTGCTAACCTCAAAGTCACAATCATTTTAAGCCCATGACTATGGTGAAAAGTGAGGCTGATATAGGACAATCAGTATGATGCTGAGGCTCACAGTTAAGATGCTAACAACATTTGAGCTGGAATGGACATTTGGTCATGAACATGCAGTAAATAAAAACCATCCTTCAAAATACTAAGAAGAATACCAAAACAATTCTTTACAGACCTTGAAAGAACAATTCTCAACTTCATATGGAAAAACAAACAAACAAACAAACAAACAAACAAAAAAAACAGAATTGGCTAAAGAATCCTGTACAACAACAGATCATCTGGAGGTATCTCCATCCCTGATCTCAAGTTTTACTACAGAGCAATAGTAACAAAAGTGCATGACATCGATGATACTGGCATAGAAACAGAATGGTGGATCAATGGCATCTAACAGAAGCCCCAGAAATAAACCCACACACCTACAGATATTTGATTTTTGACAAAGAAGCCAAAACC